TTTTTGATTTTTATTATTATTATTATTATTATTATTATTATTATTATTATTATTATTTACTTTATTCAGTAAACATGAAACTCAGCTAAACATGAAACTTATTATCATCATCATCATCATTATCATTATCATCTATTCACAACAATGTGAAGTCACAATTGCCAGTTCTTTAGCTGGTGTTGGCTTTCCTATACATTGAGTTTTTCCCAAGAACTACTAATATGATTTTCTTGAATAAAAGTAATTACTCAGTTAACTCAGTTAATAAAATAGCTGCTTGGATGGGACAAGAAGTTAAATATTTAATTATTGCATGTGTCTTGCCTTTCATAGCAGAATCCATCTGTTGTTTTGTTGCTTCCAACAACTTATACTATCATTTATATATGAACCTCGATGTTTTCCTCCTAAATGTTTACAAAATGTGTAGGGACTGACACGGCATGGTTTTCTACCAGTCCCCAGCAAGTTCACTTTCTATGGTTGCAAAGAATTGGTTAAGTATTCATATTTTAAAAAAAACAGCAGAGGTTGAGGAAGTGTACAGAAAAAAAGCCTCTGTCAAAAGGGAGAAGTTCCACTATTAATTTCCTGTGCAAAAATGGCTCGTTCCAAAACTGCTTTGCATTGATTGAAGGACTGGCTTTTTTCTTGCAGCATCATCATCATCACCATCTACAGGTGCAGCAGCAGCAGCAGGTGCAACCACCACAGCTACCACCCCCGCCACCTCCACCTGTCCCTCAGCAAGCAGCCCCTGCAATCAAGACTTCTCCTCCAGCTTTTGTTCCAACGCAGATCCCGGTTATGGAGCATCCACTTCCAGGGAACATGTTTGACACTATTTCACATTTCACTACGCCTATTCTGCACCTTCCCCAACCTGAGATGCCACCTCATCTCCCTCAGCAGCCTGAGCACAGCACTCCTCCTCATTTAAATCAACATGCAGTAGTGTCCCCTCCAGGTAAACCATTTTTAGATGCATTAGAACATATACGTTGAGTTTGTGAGAACTGGCAATCTACCTCTTCTTACATCATTCTTTCCCAGTTGAGTTTTGCAGTAAATGAGCATCAGATCAACCCAGGATACTATAAACGAAGTAGCAGTTCAAAGTGAGACACACTACAATTTTAGTTGTAAATATTTCCAGCTGACTAAGTCCATTGTAATATCAGATTTGATTGTGAGGCTACATTTGCCTGTTACCTGGGAAAGAGAACTGATTTAAATCTTGGTTTAACTGAAACCAAACTCTGGGGATGTGGAAAATCTTCCTTCAAAGAAAAGAACATTCCAGAGAACTCTAGAATGCTTCAATTTCTCTGCAGATTATATAATGTTATGTCTCTTCCTGGTACTTTTCTGAAGAGAGCCCAATTACTGCTGAAATTCCATAGTTAGTCTGGAAAATTCTATTCCCAGAATATTAGGTTTTGCATATGCCTACTAAAATCCCAGTAATAATAATAATTATTATTATTACTATTATTATTGTTGTTGTTAATCAAGATCTTGGTCAAGATCTTGTGGGATTTTCACATACAAATGGACAAAATACTGGTGCATAATACACCAGACATCACACTGGTTGGGAAAAACAAGGTTACTATCATAGACATCGCAATACCAGGTGATAGCAGGGTCAACGTGAAGGAATATGAAAAAATCGCAAAATACCAGGACTTAAAAATCGAAATTCAACGATTATGGCACAAACCAGCAGTGGTAATTCCAGTGGTAATCGGCACACTGGGTGCTATTCCAAAAGCACTGGAATTACATTTAAAACAGTTAAAAATTGACAAAATCACTGCTTGGATCTGCACGCATATTACGAAAATATGTTACGACATCCTAGGCCCCTGGGTGCGGCCCGACTAGTAACCAATGCCAAATCCGGCGAAACAACTGACCGCTGTGATACAATTGTATAATAATAATTCTTATTAATAATAATAATTCTATATAAAATAAATTACAGTAATTGTAATTTATCTTACATAGAATAGCACATAAACAGAGACTAGATGGAAAGGGTGGAATTTGCCAACCAGGGTTGCATGTTTTACAATCATAACTAATGTTATAAAGACTATCATTCCTATGTTTGCAATTCTATTAATGGAGCAAAGACAAAATTTTGAGATGATAGAATGGACTGCATTATTCCAAATGGAGACTAACATCTAGTTAATGTCACTTTATGTTAAATGTACTCAATTAGAAAAGTAGTTTGAAGGAAGTAGTTGGGGATGGGGGGAAGGAGGAGTTTCCTTCTTTGAAATAGTTTATAATATTTCCTACAGTTTTACTCCAGAATGAGTTATCTAGTTCTCAGCTGCTTGTATAGATTTTGTCTTGACTCTTTTGAAATAGGCAACAATAATCTTAACTGATTAATTGAACAATTAAAAATACATTAATAATAATAATAATAATAATAATAATAATAATAATATCACAGGTCCTGTTGAGCAGTATTTAACATAACATTACTCTTTTCTTTTCAGCTTTGCACAATGCCCTGCCTCAGCAACCGTCAAGACCCAGTAATCGAGCTGCAGCACTCCCCCCCAAACCTTCTCGGCCTCCAGCTGTGTCACCAGCTCTTAACCAGCAGCCTCTGCTTCCCCAGCCCCCACTCCCCCAACCTCCCCAGGTGCTTCTGGAGGATGAAGAGCCTCCTGCTCCTCACCACACCCTGTCGCTGAGTAATAGTCAGATGCAGATCTACTTGCAGCAGTTGCAGAAGGCGCAGCCACAGACTTCTCTCCTCCCTTCAGTGAAAGTACAGTCGCAGCCTCAGCCCTCCTTGCAACCTCCTCCTCATCCTCCAGGGCAACAATTACCACATCAGTCCCAGCAGAGGCCAGTGCATATGCAGTCCATGCAATTTCCACCCCATATCCCACAGCCTCCTCCACCGCCCCAGCCGCATCTGCCCCCTCAGCAGCCTCAAGTCCCACAGCAGTCGTCAAAACCCCAGCAAGTCATCCAGCACCACTCTTCACCAAGACATCACAAGCCAGACCCCTACGCAGCAGGTGAGTTTTTTGAGCCTGAAACATGGCAGCTGAACGGATGGGTCTATAAATGCTTGCCATCTGGATAGGTGCAGGAAAGTCATAACAGTGATTTAACACTTGTGAAAAATTTGCTTGTTGCCTTTAAGAGAGTTCTGTAAAGAGGAAATATAGTAAAGCAAGTTAAAGGAACCTGGGTTTTTCTGATGGAAATTACTCCCTTTTCTCTTAAGATCATCTATTTGTTTGTTTGTTTGTTTGCTTGTTTGCTTGCTTATTCAGTTTATGTCCCACTTCCGTATTCAGAGGGAACACTCAAGATGGCTGACTTCATAAAATACAAAACCTAAAAACTTGCTGAAGGCATGGTTTTCAATATTTTTTTCTGTGCTGATTTCATTTTAACCAAAAATTTGAAATTTTGCTAACATGCATTTTATTTTCTACCTCTCCATAACCTCCTAGAAATAGAGCTCAACAAGCAATCCAGAGTCCAAAATAAGAGATGTACAGATTTGCACAAAGTTGCATTTGCATTCAAGCCAATGCAACGTTATTTTTGTTTCAGACCTTCAGTTGGAGGTGGAGTTGGAGACAGAAAAAGACAGGGCAGCTTTTCCTCCCCATTCTCTTTTCTATTCTAGTTTTCCATGCATTCAGCTAAATCCCCGAAGAGGAATAATGTGCTTGCTGTTCTTTGTCCAGTGAAATATCCTTCATTTGTTTCTCCCCTATCCTTCATTTGGTCTTGCTTTACAAATTCCAAAAATGGCAGGTCTACATCCAGTTATGTTTGTAGAGCAATAGAATACTCTTTAGTGGCTTAGATTTTTAGATTTCATTTCAGTGCCATGTCCCTCTTTGTGGACTTGGTTTATTTGGAAAAGCTACCTGTCAAAGATATACACAAATGATATTTTTGCCTCTTCATTGCCTGCTCTCTGGTATTACAGAATTGAATTGCTGGAAGGGGCCGTTTAGGCTACTAAGTCTACCCCTCATTCTGTAGTCCAATTCAAAATGATCCAGCATTTAATAAACATCTCTGATGAAAGAGACTTTACTACATCTTCGAGTAATTGATTCCATTGTCAAACAACTTGGTTTTTTTTAATATTCAAATAGAATAGGGATATTCATGTAACATGTTTTATTTCTGTTCTGAGGCCTTTGGTGTATGAAATTTCTGCTGAATTTTTGGGGGGTCAGGCACATTTTGGCAGAGAGAAACCCCAGAACTTTTAAATTCTTCTAAGTTTCAAATGAAGCAGAATCTAGAGAAAACTTAGAATGATTTTATTTGACAAGTAGAAAATTCTGGTGTGCATTCTTCCTCCTCTTAGGCACTCCCTAGTGTGGGTACATTCCACTTCTCTGATCCACATGTGGTATTTCCAATTACTTGCTTGGCTTCAGCCCCTGCTGTCTCCACTGTCCTAACACTTTCCCTTTCCTTCACTTCTGATCCAATGCTAATGTGGCAATGCAATGTATTCTCCCCACCCTGACCTTTCTAGGCTCTTACCTCCCTCCCACTGTTAATGTACTATCCTGTGCATTTATTCGTGACTGCAGTAATCTTCACAGTAAATTGTGATTCCCAGAATGGTTTATTCCACCAGCTTACCGTGTTTCCCCAAAAATAAGACAGGGTCTCATTTTCTTTTGACCCTCGAAAGAAGCGCTTGGCCTTATTTTCTGGGAGGTCTTATTATTTTTGAGGTGCAGGAGGCGGCAAGCGTGGTCACCTCATGGCTGCTGCTGTGTTGCAGTATTTTCAGGGAGGGCTTATTTTAGCACATGCGCTCAAAAGCCCAATTGAGCTTATTATCTGGGGAAGTCTTATTTTCAGGGAAACAAGGTAGTCCACCCCAGATTTTCCCAGTTTCTTTTGCTGTACCCCCAGCCTCTACTGTCTGTGTTGTCAGCTTGCTCTCTGTCTACCCAATTCCTGCCCAGTCAACTGCCTGGAACACTAGAATTTTAGTCCAGGCCTGCCACAATATAGTCCTGTTTTTATGCCATGCATGAATATTTTTGATGGAATTTGTCCCATTCAAAAGTGACTATAGCCTTTTTGACCTTGCATTCTATTATAGTCATTTCTATACCACTATTTTTCAAATAAATGTAAAACTGACATTTCCTCATTTACAGTTTTGCAAATTAAAATTTACTGAACGTAAATAGGTGTTTAAATGAGCAAATCTCAGATAACTCAAAAGTTTTTTTTTCTCCAAGTTGTCAGCTGAATATCATAAGTGCATTTTCCAAAGTTTTTTTTATTATTTTCTGAAAACATTGGTGCTGACTTATTCCAGGCCACTTGAGAGAAGCACCTTCCCCTCTCATGATGCATTCCCCTCAGATGCCACCGTTCCAGGGGTTGCCGCACCAGTCTCCACCACAATCAAATGTTCAGCCAAAAAAGCAGGTAAAGGCATCTTACAAAAAAGTTTATTCAGATGTTTGTTTCCATAAACATTTTTCCAGCATCCATTAGAAAGCAGATTCCTTCAAGAACTTTTCTTATTGGTGGGGAGGCTCAGACAATACAGGGAAAGCCATGAAAAGACATTATTATTACTATGGTCTTTTGTTTGTCTATCTTTCTTTGCCAGGAACTGAGAGCAGCATCCGTAGTTCAGTCGCAGCCTATGGTCAAAGAGGAGAAGATGCAGTCCCCAGTCATTCGAAATGAGACCTTTAGCCCTGCCTTGCGGCAAGATCCTACCAAACACCCAGAGAGCATCAAGCCACCTGTACATATCCAACAACGTAAGTGATTTATCACTTTGTCTAGAAACCCCATGTGTTTTGTTGAATTTAGTTTACATTAAGGGGGACAGCCCAATTCTTCAATTTAGTTTATTTTCAGGATGTTTGTTTCAATAATGCTGACTAGACAGAAAGATTGTTAAAGTTGTAATTCTTATTTCAGGAACAGAAATGAAGACAGTGGACAGTGGACGGCCTGTTATAAGACCTTCAGAACAAAATGCACCACCAGGAGTCCAGGACAAAGAGAGACAGAAGCAAGAACCAAAAACACCAGTAGCACCTAAAAAAGTAACTGAATTATATATTGTTTTCCTCGATAGGGAAAAAAAAGCAGAAATGGTTGATAAGATTTGCTCACTTTGTGTTATAATGAACCCTCATAGCAGCTTTAGTATTTCTAAATTTCTAGTGTGGCTTTAGAACTCTAGTGATCAATATTAAATCTTTAATTGAATTATGATAATCTGTAAGAGGATGTTATTGTTTGAAGTGTTTATACAGAAATATTAGTAATAACAGCAGCACTTCATAGTACTTTACAACCCTCTCAAGCAGTTTACACAGTCAGCATATTGCCACCAACAATCTGGGTCCTCATTTTACCAACCCATCTTATTTATAATTTCTCTGAGTTATAGGTTAGACTTACTATTTATCTATTGATTAATTGCAATCAGTTGGGTGTGTAACAGTACACAATAGTAGCAGTAGTTAGTTTTCTTTTCATTGACTTTCATTCATTATTCATTGCTTAAAGTACAATTTTATAATACTTAGATTAATTCCAAGTTGTATTTGAGGATCAGCTAAGAAAATATTTGCTTCAATTTGACTTCTATCTTTGATTTTCTAAATACTGTCTCAAGAATCACTAAACTTGATTTTAATAGTTGGGGAAATCAGAGGATATTTCTTTCCTTGCTTATATTCAGTTACAATTTTAGTTTAGCCTTTGGTGTACAAAAAGGCTAGGATTGTCTGTAGTGAATATATTCCCAACCTCACGACCCATACGAAATAGCTAATTTAACTCTACCACACAATTTTTGATGCAAAAGACATCCAGAAAAATCCACTGGCATTCAAGCTCCTTTATTGTGTGCCTTAGAAATGGGTATTATTAGCCTAGGTTAGCTTGGAGGGTTTTTTTCCTGTTAGTTACCAGCTAAATTTCTATGGATATTGTAAGTCATTAGGATCATCTCAGTCATCTCTTACTTGAAGGCAAGGGAAGATTCTGGTTTTTCATGTGCACCAATTACATCATGTTACAAGTTAGTTATTGATCCTGCACTTCTTTTCTCCACAGGATTTGAAAATAAAAAATATGGGATCTTGGGCAAGCTTAGTGCAGAAACATCCCACCACACCATCTTCAACAGTAAAATCCAGCAGTGACAGCTTTGAGCACTTCAAGAGGGCTGCCCGGGAAAAGGAAGAGCGTGAGAAAGCCTTGAAAGCTCAAGCTGAACAAGCAGAGAAGGAAAAGGAGAGACAAAGGAGGGAACAGGAAAGAATGAGGTGAGAAACATAATTAGTTGAGATAGGTGTGTGTGTGTATTTATATTCTTCCATTGTGTTTGTGTGACAGAGAAAGTACTTTATGTTATCCTTAAAGTCTCTGCAAACGCATGTTATGGGAGGAAAGCATTTGGGAAGATTTCAAGATTAATTCTGAGCCTTCCCTCTAGAAAACTAATAAATAAGGAAACACTGTCGTGACAACAGCAAAATAGTTTTGGCCAGCAGGGTACTGCAGGAGGCATCCATCCCGTGTCCCCACCCCGCCCAACCCACAGAGGAAAACTACAATGATGATCCGGCCCTCGAAGAAATCCAATTTGACACCCTTGGTATAGAGTCAGCCTCTTTGATATAAAAGCTATGGTGCTCCCAGGCTTGGAAGAGCTATTGGTGTGCTCCCTCCTCAAGAAGCTCTCCTTGGACCCAATGGTCTCTGATAACTATTGACCAACTTTCTCTTTCTGGGAAAGGTTGTTGAGAAGGTAGCTGTTCCGTAGCTGATAAGAACTCTGGATACAGGCCTCAGACAGGTTTCAGACTCTAATTTAGTACTACACTGCTTTGATCATGCTTATAGATGACTTGTGGTGGAGCAGGGATGGCAATCTTGGATCCATTCTTATGCTCCTTGATGTTTTGGTGGCCCTTGATGCCATCAACCATGGTGTCTCGTGAGCTGGCTTTGTGGGTTGATTTCTCTTCTTTCTTAGCCTGGTTCCAGTCAGTGTTGGATGATGGGGAGATCATTCCCTAGACTCCTCATTTATGATGTGTTGCAGGCTAATATTTGCAGGCTATTTCTCTCTTCTCCTTTTTAACATCTACATGAAACCGCTGGGTGAGGACATTTACCACTTTGCGGTTCATGATCATCATATTTTTATAATTATATCTTTTGATGCCAGGCTAACTAAATGAGGCTATTGAGGTTCTATCCCTGTGCCTGAAGGTTGTGCAGCTCGTGCCATGGTCACAGCTTAACAGCTTAATACCCCTCCCCTCCCCGTTAGGTTAATAGAGCTACCCTTCAAAACCACCCGAAAGCTTCAGCTGATCCACAACAGCAATGTAGGCAGTGATGAGCATACCTTGGTGGATGCTCCTGTAATACCTCACCTTTGCAAGCAGTACTGCTTGCCAGTTTGTTTCCTGATGCGATTCAAAATGCTGGTTACCATCTATAACACCTTTCATGACATCAGGCCTGGTTACTGGTCATAGCATCTGCCCAGCTGATCCGATGAGGTAGGATTCCTTTGATTAAACAATGCTATCTGGAAAAACACCTTATTTGTAACAGTACCTGCCCTCTGGAATGGGAATTCCCTCTGAGATTCAAACACACGTACCCCACGTACAGTACTTTAAAGGGCTATGAAGAAGTAGGTCTTTGCCCAGGTGTTTGGTGCAGTTGACTGAAGCTCTTTTCTTTTTCTTTATTCCTATCGGGGTTTGCTTGCTCTGCCATCTTTGTTCCATTTGCTTTATGTTGTCATTGTGATTTTTGTCCTATTTTTTAAAATGTTTTGCCCAGAGTAGCTGGGAGTCAGTCAGCATATCAATTTAATTTAACACATGTGAAGGTTTGGAACAGAATTCATTCTTTCCTTGTCATTGGACAGGGACTATAGCTAATAGCTTTTGAAGTTTGGTGATAAAAATTAAAAGGCATAACTGGAAGAACACAGTGCAGCAAGGAGGAATCAAGGGAAACTATTGATCTTAAGGATTACAATACTTCTTTTCTTATTAATTTAATTTTAAAAACATTGCCAGTTACATTAAAAACTAAAACAGTACTTTAATATAAACATATCTCTGCTGGGATTTTAAAGGAGCCTGAAGACCTAGCTTTTCATTAGGGCTTTGATGAGGTTGACTGTAGACTTGCTTTCAACCTAGATTGTTTTCATTTTGGTTCCTTTGCTTTATTTTCCCCCCCATCCAGTTTGTTGTCCTGCCATCTTTACCCTTCTATTGTTGCTTATTGTTTTTATTGTCCAGTTTTTTTAACTTTTTAATTTAAATCATTTGTAAAATACCAGAGTCTCTGGGAGTCAGGTTGCATATGAATTTAATTTTTTTTAAAAATCTCAAAATATTCTGGCCATGACCTCATCCTTTTTGAAACGTATGTTACTCAAAGACAAGGCAGCCAACAACATAAGCACTTGTATTTACTACTGGTTAAATCATTGGCAACTGGTACTTTTCCTTTATTTATTTATTTTGTTCATTTCACTTTTCTGCTGGCCCTCCATGCCTTATTTCTTTTCAGTCCCATACGGGAAATTTCATACAAGTAGACTTCACTTAATGACTGCCTCAGCAGTTACAGTGATGATGGAAAAGTAACTTTGCCACCTAAATATCGGCATTTATGGCCTTCATGGCATCATTTTCAGTCCCATTGTTCACCATTACAGTCAGACAGTACATGTTGCACTGTTAATGAAGAGATTGCCTAAACAACCAATCTCTTCCTGAGCTGCTGTAACTTCCCCCAAAAATGCTAATTGTAAGTTAACAAGCTCAGCTCTTTCATCTTAATTAGTTGGCTCCCAGCTGCTGCCTGTAACAGACAAGACTTTAACTAGGTTCACATCTTCAGCTTTTTGTTTAACTCCTACATTGTTCAATGAGCAGCTAGGTTTACAACTAGTGGCGGGGCATTCCCTTGTACGTGTATGCCCCATGGTGTGCCTGCTTCCTTTCTTGTAATCCATTAATTCTCTTCTTGGGAATTATCTCAATGCCAGGGTTTGGAGAAGTGGGGAAAAGGGGCTTGGAGATTTGCCCGTTTACACCTCTTCGTCATGAGTCAGGTTTTGGAAATGTTCCCACTGTTTGGGCTCACCCAGCCATTTGGGGCCATGTCCTGTCACTATAAAGCAAATCAAAGCTGAAATAAAATCATAAGCACAGTTGTGGACACAAGTGTTCCATTTAGCAACCAAGTTGTCAATCTCAATTGTGAAAGCTAAATGAAGCCTACCTGTATTGCAGGCTACAGTTCCTGCCAATGTGTTCAAGGTTTCTCTGGGATGTCGGGTCTTCCAGTACCTTCCAATCAATGTCCTGTGGCTAGGGGGGATGTCTAGTTTCCCTAATGCTGTGAAACGGAGGCCAGATCATCATTTCCGCTGTTATTCCTGATCCATGAATAGGAGTCGTGAAGAAGAGGAGGCTCTGGAGCAGGCACGTCGAGTTCACGAGGAAGCACGGCGGCGTCAGGAACAGCAGCCCCAGCATCATCCCCAGGCTCAGCAACAGGTGTCAGCGGCAGCCTCTGCTCCCCCGTCACAGAGCTCTCAGCCACAGGCTTCGCAGTCCATGCTGGACCAACAGAGAGAGGAACTCAGAAAACAGGAACAGGAACGAAGGCGCAGAGAGGCAGTAAGTGAAGGATAACGGTGCCCTCTGGGCTTTGAAAAGGTTCACAGTTCCCGTAGCGCAAGAGGCTGTGCTTGGAAATTTAGTTTTGAAGTCTTTTTCAAAGTGCCAGAAATGCCAGCCTTTGGCCCAAGTGTGACGCTAGTCTCCAGTAAACATACCTGAATGGCACTTAACTTTTCTGTAAAAGAAATATTATTGGAATTTTGCAGGAAAACAAAATACACATGCCATCCCTAATGTAAATTAGGCAAAGTAAAATGAGTACCTTGATCCTTTTGAAGAAAGATCACAGTGTGTATTTGGATATTAGAATTTGATTCTATTGAATTTAGGAAGAAATAATCATTGTGAAGCAGGGCCAGTTGATACTGAGGAAATTAGAATACTTGTACATTGTACTGTTCATTTGAAAGACCTTTTTTACACCTCTGGTTTTTTTCCTCTCCAGATATCTACCTTTTCTCTCTCCCCCCTTCCCCTGTTTCTTATTTCTTTTAACTACTTGCCTTCCATGAAAAACTCGTGCTGTTCATGCTATAAATACATATATATCTTCCACATATATACTTTGAAGTCTGTCAGTTCTTTCTCCCAAAATGTTGACCTTCCTCCCCTCCCTTTTTCTTTTAACTCTGTCTCACATATCTGGACCATCAGTTCTGGCAAGTTAAATCCTCTGCCGCCATCACTTTATAATCTCATTCCAGTTTCTTTCCTTTACCTTCTTTTTCTTTTTTTTCACCCCTTCACAGGAAATTCCTCAGTGTATAATGTTTTTGGTATTGTTGGGCTTTTTTTTATAAGACAGGGAAATGGTTTCTGATAAGTGAATATGGCTTCCCCTCGGTCTCTGCTAATGTTAATCTGCATGATAAACTTTTATAGACTAGAGTTCTAGATCAGGTAGTTGCTGTTAATCTATTGAGATTTTTTTTTTCTGTGAACCAGGATGACTGCTGCATTCTTTTTCTCTTTCCCTTTAGATGGCATCTACTATCGACATGAATTTCCAGAGTGATTTGTTGGCAATATTTGAAGAGAATCTTTTCTAATAGCACCTGGTTTTCTTCACCTGAACTCCTTAATTTCCCAGCAAATTTTTGACTCTCCATAATGTTGTTGGCAGCTGGGAGGAGAGCATTCCTGCAGCCTTTCTGCATGTGTGACGGTTGTGGCCTCAGAAGGATCAGCAGAGTCTGCCTTACGATTTGACTTAATTCCCACCCCCACCCCATCCCCCAACCTCACTGAAGAAAGCGAGACCAAGATGAGTCAACTTTGTACTAGGTTTGCATCAGTGGACATGCAGTTGCTGGGAAGGGTGCCCCCTATCACTTGATATTCTCTATGCCAAACCTACTTGCAGTATATCCAGAACTTGATGCTGTTTACCCTTTTTCTATTCAAAAGCATTCTGAATTCCAGAATGTCTTTGATGCTACTGTGCTGTATGCTGGCAGCACCAGACACTCTGCATTGAGAGGCTGTGTACAGAAAGACCCTGCCTGGGCTTTAACAGGGAAGACACACAAGCTGTTTTGGGTCCTTTCATCACTGGCTTTGCCTTTAACTAAACTTCCCACAAGCCTTTAGCTGGGAGCCATTCTCTGTAAGTGTTTGCTTGTGAAAAAGGGAATAATTTAGTGGAGGTGTCAAGTAAGTGTAACTGGCCATTTGAGTGAGGTTTTTGTTTTAGCATTGTGTGGATGACAGGAATCTGAGCTAGACTACCAACCAAAGTCAGTTTCTTTCAATCTGTTTCTTTTCCTCCAGATACATTGGCACTGCTCAACTCTTTGAGTAGGTATTCTTGTCTCTTCATTACAGAGTGGAGTGGAGTGGGGAAAACTTAACACCAGGGGAAGCTCCCACCCTGTCAATAGTGTTTGACTGTGGCTGTATTGTATAGTGAATATAGTTGGCATATATTTGTTTGAGTTTTATGGTGAGCTCACCATACTCTGTAAAGACACTGCTTCTATTTTGCTCAGTTCCAGACTTTTAGTCTATATTTTTAACTGTAATACCAGAAAACTACATTTTGGGTTTTAAATGTCATGAAGTCTGTTAAAATTAGTTTTTATACACAACAGAGCAGCTCTGGGGAGGGAGGTGGGAATGGATTTGGATTGGCAGGAAGGAAGACCTGTTCCTGTTGTCTTCCATTAAGTCCTTTCACATTTTAGCAGTAATCATTTTCTCAGCACTTTTAGCATATTCTTTTCATTTTACTCTTTCAAATGTTCCACGTTTATGTGCCATAAATACCCACTATACAGTACAATACTGGTGTGTCAGTATTGGCCAATCTCTGGAGTAATTAATTGGTTTTACTTTAATACGGTGAATATGCATTTGGTCTGTACTGATCATGGAATAAACTCATCTCTTTTTTTTTAAAGTTGGTGTCGTACTGACATTTCTTTTAATCTTGCTTATGGTAAAATGGCTTAAGTGAGAAAGGCTGTAAGGAGACTTGTTCCATTCATCTGTCTTGCTCTAGCAGGCAGGGAAATCTCCAGCCAATTCATACAATTTTCATCTTATCAGCAAGCTAGCTAATATTTACCCTGGGAGTCGTACTAGTGGAGCAACAGCATTCTGTAGAAATGGTAGAAAGATGAACACCAAATATCAAGCAGATAGTGTTTTCTCAGCATGGCTGGTTTCACACTGTAGCATCAAGCCAAAAGTAGGAGAACAGCACACTGATTGTTTTCAGTCTTGTTCCCATTTGGGGCGAATCTCAACATGTAACATAATTTCCAGCAATAAAATTTAGCCCAGCTTCCTGTATTGTGCTAAATTAAGAGCGCTTGAACTATTGTAGTTGACCCTGTGAGGATCCAGAGGAAGATAATAGTACTTCACTTTTCTGCACTGTTGGTCAAAATTAGTGTTCCAATATGAATTGCTGGACATGGATTTTCTAGTTCAGAGCTTGCAAATTGCCATTCTGTTGCTACTTCTTTTGAAAAAACACGACTGCTTGCTTCAAAACTTTAATTGGCCTAAGTAGTGGGTTTGGACTGTGAATTAAAGTTATTCAGAGTGCTTATTTTGGTCAAGAATGGCATGGTTAGCAGCTGTAGAGAAGGCAACTGTTCTTTGGGTAGCTCCACCAACTTTGTACTTGCACCCTCGGCCAAAGACACCTCTGTTTTTCCTGATGACAGAACTTCTTGTCCTGCCAATGTCTCAACCCTTCATTTTTATCATATTGGACTACTGATTTCAACAGCTACACCATCTGCCCAATTTAATTATGACTAATCTAATATGAGAGACACTCACGTTAAGAGAGCAGAGATCCCAGATGGAGTAAAAGAAGGTAGCTATTTCTGTTAGTCGACTTCCAGGCCATTACACCTGGGGGGGAAAAACCTGAATTGTCCCTCCTGAAATGATTATAGTTATGTATCAGGAGAAATGAGGCATCTAAGAAAATATTTATTGTCTCCAAATAGTATTGCCCTTAACCTTGCGATTTGCTTCAACATCATTCTCAGGTCTTTTTGTAGGAGTTGAATAATAGGACCTGCTATACAACACCAAGATCAAGTGATAGGTCATTTGTTGCCTATTTTCAATCTAATTTGGCCTTGGCTTTCCAATGTGCAGTTAAAATTTCCAGGCCTTTAAGCAGTTGGAAGTGCACGGTCACACATATTAATATAGGTAACTCAGGTTAGTAGCCATGTACAGAAGAAATGAGACTGGGTCTAGAGGCAGTTGTTTCTTTGACAGTCTTGTGAACAGCCAGTTCTCACGCTGAATTTTTACCTAAAGGTGCCTTTTAACTCTACAACATTAGAAGATCTCTGCCTTTCTCCATCAAGTATTCAATTGTTGAAAAAGATAAATAGGAAGGTTTAGAAGGGGCGATATTACCCCTCAGACAGCTTTTTCTGAAGGCTTCTTGCTGAAAAGAATGTGCAATTAAGTGCAGATCAGGTTTTCTATTACAAAAAGTTGACTGTGCTTTCCTTCTATCAGGGAGTTGCCAGTCTTGAGAAGGCCATGAAGTGTTGTGCTTTGCCTCCAAGCAGTACTTTTGTGTCTGGAGTGGCTTAGGCTCATGGCCAGTAACCACATCTAACATTAAAATGCAGTTGAGTGGTCTGAAAATCTGAATTCCTGAGGACCACGCTTGGGCCTCAGATTACCTCTCGTACAGAACATCTAAATGTTCTGTTTCCGGACCAACATAAAGGTAGTTACCATATGCTGGATTGTATAGGACACTAGTTTCCTCCCTTGATCTGCTTATGTGTGGGTGTTAACACTTCCGAATCGGTGAAATGTTAGATCACCAGCTCATACAATTTCTTCGTGAAGGCTTAATGGTTGGATTAGCCCTTATAGTCTTCTACTTAATCCCAGGAATTGTCAGGAAAGGGGGCTTCTATCTCTGGCAACGGCTCAGACTTGAATGAAAATAAGTCCCTTGCATCCCCTTCTTGTTGTCCTTGTGTTACTGCACATGTCTTTTTACCATGAGCTAATTAACTAGCCTTAATCTTCTCTTAGCTCTTGTTTAGATCCTTGATGAGGAAGTAGGAATGTTGGTTTTCCTCTGAACATGTTCCCATTCTTTCATTTTCATTGCCGGTCATTTCTCACAGTATTCCTTGGCCTTCCATCTATCCATCCCCTCTCCCCAGTCACCTCTTTTACAAAGCACTTTGGATGAACATCTCCCTCCTTTATTAATTTTATGCTCAGGGTTTTTGGGGTACTTTAAGTGCACATCCGCTGTGAAAGTTGATCACATATGACTCACTGCAATTGTACATAACAAAACCGCACCACACTGACAAAAATGAAAACGTAACGAAGTGGAGATGCTGGAACTTCTATCAAGAGAGCACCCTCTGTTGTAAAAAATTTAAAATAAATAATTTATATGTATGCAATGAACAACACCCCATTCCCTGTATCTAGTCAATAGCGAGATTAGTTGTTTTTTATTTTAATGTTTAACCTTCTTTTTGCATTGAACATTTGCCAAACTTTCTTGTCTGTAGTTGAGAGTTTCAAACTGTGATAGCAAGTTTTTTTAGCTTGGTGGCTTTCTCCGTTGTCTTGTTCTTCCTCGCTTTCCTCTTCTGATCATTTCTGTGTTTTACAACTTTTTTGAAATGTTTACAGGCCTTCACTTATTTACTTTAATTTTCTTTTCTTTTTTTAAACTGTACTTGGTCTTTGATTTTTATATATTTCTACATGATGAACATGGATGGTATCATTAAATTGGAGACATTTTTTTCTGCCAAAGGATTGCTATTCTCTTTCTTTCTTTCTTTCTTTCTTTCTTTCTTTCTTTCTTTCTTTCTTTCTTTC